GAAGCAGGGTTTGGGTGAAATTGATAAAGAAGCACAAAAAACGTTTACATTGTGTGATAAAATATTTTTTTAAAATGTTCAGCATGATGTGATATAATCTGCAGGAAAGTGCTCAACTATTAGCTGCTTTCCTACCCTGAGAGTTTCTCCCAGAGCATGGAGTTACAGAGATCACAAACTCAGGGGTTAACAAACCCAGCTTTGAATTCTAACACTTGATATAATCTGCAGGAAAGTGCTCAACTATTAGCTGCTTTCCTACCCTGAGAGTTTCTCCCGGAGCATGGAGTTACAGAGATCACAAACTCAGGGGTTAACAAACCCAGCTTTGAATTCTAACACTGTGACTAACCAACCAGTTATATGACCTTGAGTGAATTTACTTAAGTTAGGTTTTCTTTGAGCTCATTTCTTCATCTTCAGAATATTTTTAACATTTTCCTTTTAAAATTGTTTACATGTAAAATGCTCAGACTTCCCATCTCAGCACCCTGTCCACAGAAGCAGATGCTTAATAAATGTGGGTAGGAGCTGTGCTTGCTCTGGTCTGAGTGTTCTCCAGGCCCCTTGGTGACTTTGCCCATTCCTTCCCTGAACCTGAACTTTACAGAGAAAACTAAACAAGCATGTTCACTGTCGTTACTTCTCTCAAAGGTCCTCAAATCAAAACTCAATTGCTTATGCTTCAAAAACCAGAATTTGAATCCCTTCATAAAACAGCTAAGAATCTGAGAATCTAAATGGGCAACAGAAATTAATCAGGGAAATTTTTAGTTTTTGAGGTGAAGCAGGCTCAGTATCAAAAACACTAACAATTATTCCCCTGTACCAAGGTGGGACATTGATGATTCTGTCACATTGAAGTGATAGGGGCTGTTAAAACTACTGTTCTGCTCATGGGCTCTCCAGAGTGGTGCTGAATAGTTGAAACATCAGTTTTTCTTTCAATTTCTCATGAAGACGAGAGCTCCTGGTCTCCCAGACTCCCAAGCAGAACAAATCACCGTTGGACTAGCTTTCCCCCCCCTCCTCACCACTACTTCCTGCCTGGTAGAAGTGGAAGCAAATCAGACAAGAGCATCACATATTGTACAAAGGTACTAATATGCAACTCTGTACCCCACAGAAATGTACGATCATGTTTCAATAAAAATAAATAAAGCAAATCAAACAATATGACTTTTTAAAAATTATTTAATTTAGTAGTTTTCTTTTTTCTTTTTTTTTTTTTTTTGGAAAAAAAGCAATAAGGCAAAAAAACTGAAAATATATATTTTGTTTTGTTTTGACAGGACTTTATTCCACCTGAAGGACTCTAAGCTTCTTCCATTAGCAGGAATCTGATTGGGGATCAAGCCAGAAATATAGTGCTGATGGTGGAGGAAGAAAAGGGGGATAAAGCAGGAAGTTCAGTTTAGTTGAGGAATTTCCACTCTGTCTAAAGGCCCCTGAAGAGGTCACTGCTCTTACGGGCCTCCTTACAAGAAGCCCTGGCATAACCCTTTGTGTTAGGAATAACGTTCTTAGGAAAAAACTCCCCAGCAGTCATTCCCCTCTCACGTTTATCACAGCAAGTAAGGGAGGGATGGTGAGGAAGGAATAAAAGTATTAATTTACCACGTATAAATCCAATTTCCTGGAGGGATGGCTTCCTCTGGAATGATATTTTTCCCCCAGACCCACACTGGCTGAGGTTCAGCAGTTAAGGAACAGAAACAAAAAACACTAACAAATAGCATACAAGGAAGGCACCTCAATTCGTGATCCTCAACCAAGGGTGGGTTGCACAGGGGTTAGATTTCTGAACAAGACAACTAAAACAAATACAGAACAGACTAAGAAGGAAGCCAGGGCCCAACAGCAGCAGTTCTCTTATCTCCACATGATGGTGTTTTCAGCCCCACACCTTAGGAAGAAAATTCTTTTGGGATTTAGCTTATGTGCTGGACAGAAGCAGAATTAAACTGGAAATTACTCCTCGGACTTTCTACTTGTACTCTTCCTAACAAAAGAAAGAAAAAAGGAAGGAAGGAGGTTAAGGTTTCATTTTCAAGAGTCAGGGAATTAGGAGAGCAGAGTTTAGACAGCAGTGGGCACCCCAGGATAACAAACCATGGACAAAGTCCCTGTTCAGTAACTGCCAGATGTGATCCTGCTCAGGTTTCAAATCTGTCTGTCCCTAAAAGATGGAAAGCAGAGGAGTGCCAACCCATATCAACACATATCCAAGAGAGAATCCCAGGGGACAAGTTATATCAAAAAACAAGATTCTCAATGGGAAGGAGGAAAATCAAACAAAAAAATTAGATTTTCTCTACATATATATAATATACAGATATGTAACACATTATTCCAGAGGTGGCTCCAGTCCACAGGGCTTGAGAGATGGTGAAAACTTTTGTTCCAGATTAACTTCTCTCAAATTCTGAAGTACATCAGAATGGGACAGGTAATGTTTTGCTCCACATTGGGGCACAGGCCCAAATTGGTATCGTGCCGGCAGACAGAAGAGAAGCTAGAAAGGCGATGAGGGATGTGGGTGAGGAAGGATCAGGGTGAGGAGGAATTGGGAAAGCAAGTGACTAGCAGTCTTCTTCCATCCTGCCTGTGTTCTCAGAAGTTCTCCGCCTGAGGAAGTCTGTAAAACCCCTTTGTGAGGATAATGCAACCCTCTTCCCATCCACCAAAGTGGCCTCCAGTTGCTGTTGAAGAAGATGGAGAACAGCAGAGGGGTGTTTTACACAAGTGAAGATAGAAACTTCCAAGAATGTACCTCTGAATATTCCAGTCCTACAGAACAATCCCTCTTGTAGGTGTTCCAATACCTAAGTTCTCTATGCATGGACACCCCATTAAACTGACCCCATGTGTGAACACATTTCATGTTATACCTAAGCTCCACCACAACCATTCATAATGCCTCCATTGGTAAGTATGTGTTTCATTTTAAGGGAACTTCTAAAATCAGCTCTTGCTCTGAACAGCACCAAAATGCCCCTGAATCATAATCTTACACAGATCTTGGCTGAGCAGAATACTTCAAGGGGAGGGTGAATGACATTTTCATAAATGGGGGCAGAGAAAGAAAGAAGAGCCAAGAATACCTGACTTTGTAGATGTGGAATAACACTAACTTTCAGCCACTAAATCTCTCCCTTACAAACATAAGTATCTAGTATGTCGATTTCAGTTTCAATCAGCTAAGGCAACCAGCCAATCACCACCACTGGTGTCTGCTTCTGGTGATTGATTTGGAAAAAACGATTGGTCAAGAAAGACAAACTTGAGGAAAGCACTTGGTAAGAAAGTCACAATTGTGGCTTTCCCACACATCCTCTGTCCTCTTCTCCATCAGATCCAGGACCTTTTTGTTGCTGCCACTTCAGAAAATGTCCGGGCATGAATTCCAGTCCTGTTTTTCTTTACACTCCCAGTATTCTCCCCTATAAATATGGGTTAACTCCTTGGTAACAGGGTCCTTCTTCCGCTCAAACCAGAGTGCCTTATAGGGATCATATGGTGTGCCTAAAAGGGAAAGAGGACAGAAAAAATTAGGGCTGGCATTGTCCACACATCAAAAAATGAGAGTGGAAGGCAAGTTCGTTACCATCCTCTGTGGCTTTCATAGCTTCTGCTTCTCTCTTCTTTCTGGAAAGTCTTTGTTTTTCTTCCAGGCGCTGCTTCTCAGCATTTGCTTCATCCCAGCGCCCATTTTCCATCAGTCTCTGGTCAGGCCGTAACCGGCTATCTGTGGGGGCAGTGCCACCTTCCCAGGCATTGAGAGTTAGAGCAAGCTCTGAGAAGTAGTACATGTTTTCTGCATTCTTCCTAAAAGGATGAGAAAGAGGTAATTCCAGAGCTCAGAGCCTAGTTAAGAAGCAACAAGTACACTGCCAAGACCACATCAGCAACGTTTTTCTACAAATGGGAAGAATCTAGGACCACATCAGGTACCCCTAATTAAGACAGCCCAACTAGATCATTCCCCATCCCTGCATTACCCAATTCAGTAGTGTTCTGGGGTTCTAGTGTGCTCAGCTAAAATTATCTACATTCATTAGGAAGAATAAAAAATTTTATTGAATAAAAATTCCTCACTCCTGTGTCCTTTGCTTTCTTTTTAATCTCTTTCTGGGATAATCTTGGCTATTACTGCAGACTGAACGTATTAGGTGATGACAAATGGCCTCTGTCTTGTTTCCTAAATTGTGCACATTGTGTCAGGGACCTTTATGCTGTTGCTGGGCCTTTAGGCTAAATTGTTAACAGGTGGTAGACACTTTTCTCCTCTAGCCGTTTTTAAATAGTTTTGCTCTAAATTATAGAAAAATATCCTTTTGAATCACAACCCAAAGGATCTTCAGAAAGCACAAAGTATTTTTTGGCAGATGTGGTTTGGTTAGTATAAACTGTCTTGGGACAAGACATGCTACAACTCAAACCATATAGTGACTACTTTTTGGTAAATCTTGGTAATCTCTCTAACAGTTCCAGTTTTCCTTATTTAATCCTTCACACAATTAAGTGGGAAAGCAGGCAGAAATGCCTTCAATACTGCTCCACAGTCAAGGTCAAAGTAGGGTGTGGGCAGCATGCATACTGATACTCACGGTAAAGGATTCCTTTTCCATAGCGTGACCCTGCTTTCCTCTGCATCATGGCTTCTCTGTCGAGCATCACCCCCATTTTCCCCAATGACTGGTTGTACTTTGAAACAATCCATTTTCTCATCCCATGTCCCCAGAAGGGCAAAGTGAACTCTTCCTGATGGATCTGTCACTTCCCCTGTCACCTGCAAGTGTGGAGAGCAGGGCTTTGGAGTACAGCATTCACTATGGGTTCACTCACTTGACTATGCAGGATACCAAAGTCCTATGGTAAATACTGGTTAAATCCTGTTATAACAAACTCCATGGAACTACCCAATGGTTTTGTTGGGGTTTTTTTGTACTACTTGAAATAACTGAGCCATGACTCAGGGGGTTCATTATAATTTTCTGTTGTATAGGGATTTTTGATGCAATGATATATGCAGGAAAAGCATCTGACTGGTACTCAGAATTATATTTTCTTCTCTCCAGAAATCAGAGACCCACAGACAGACTTAAACCCCCCAGCTATTCCTCACTCTTCCACAGAAACTCACAGTACACCTCCATTTTTTAGTGGTAACACACAACTCTCCCTTAAAATTCACAGGGGTCAAACTGCCCACACCTTCTTCCTGCAATTCTTTTATTAGTCCTTCCTCTGTGTTTCTCATTTTCAATCTTTCACTGCTGTTGACTTTTACTTCTTCACTTATTGTCGTTCCCAGAAAAGAAAAGAAATTGTTTTAATAATGCAATATAGTCCCTTTCTTGCTGACTTTCTTCTTTCTCTATTTTTTTTAAATTACTATGTGTGTGTAATATATATATATATGGATATACATACCAGCCCCCAAGGAGAAGGCTTTCTAAGGGATACATGCTAAGTGAAAACAATTTAAATTCTCACTTTCCTTACCTTTCTTGCTACATCCCGAGAAAAGTAGCTATAAGGAACAAATTTAAGATTACATTTGTCTCCCGTTTTGTGATTCACAATATCAATTTCACCAGACTGTAAAATGAAAAGAATCATAGATTAGTTTTATGAAGACTGAATGACTTCAATGTCTGCCAAACCTCATGCCTCATAATTCTTTACTTTTCAGTCTTACATGCTAGCACTCCCTTGCTTAAGATTCAGCTCTCAGCCAACCTTGGAAATCCTATGAAATCCCTTTGTAATCTTGGTATTTCGGGTTGGGATCAAAATCAAATGACCATTTGTTTTGTTTTGAAATGTGTGTCACAAGTTAGGTGGCAAAATTTGACTTTTAGAACATATGCTGAAATTCACATAATAATTTACTTTTCCAAACCAGTCCCTCACTAGTACCTTTTATTGAACTCTTCTGCTTAAATCAAAGTACTCTACTCATAGTTTCAAAGTTACTTACAGAAGGCCTTTCTTCACTTTATTCATTTCATTTTCTCCTCCTTTCTATCTTCTGAATCCCAAACTACTCTTTAAGACTCAGCTTAATTCCCATATCCACTGTGAAGCCTTTCCTGACTCCTCAGAGGATAGCATTCCCTCTCTTTTCTGAATTTATTGCAGCAATTGTCTTAAGAGCAATCTATTAATTAAATATTATCTGAGTACATCTCTTACATTAGTGTGTTTTGTTACATACTTTTCAACCTACACATGTGTCATATGTCTCCAACGATACAATAACTTCTTGAAGGATAACTCATCTGACTTTGTATCCCCAGAATGTAGTACACTGCTTGGCAATAAATAATAAAAGGATTAAAGGGGGGGCATGTTTATTATTTTCCTGTATCCTTCATAGTGCCAACACAGTCTTAGAGTAGTCACAAATGACCAAGTTATAATTTGGTCATTTGTAAATAATAACTTGTGATATAGAAACTTGGAGAGGTGGGGCCGGCCTGTGGCTCACTCGGGAGAGTGCGGTGCTGGTAACACCAAGGCCACGGGTTCGGATCCCATATAGGGATGGCCGGTTCGCTCACTGGCTGAGCATGGTGCTGACAACACCAAGACAAGGGTTAAGATCCCCTTACCGGTCATCTTTAAAAAAAAAAAAAGAAAGAAACTTGGAGAGGTGGACGTGGAGCTACTGCCTGAAGAAATTCCTTAGGAGAAACTGATGAACCAGTAACAAAACTCTGGGGCCAGTTCATATGTCCTAAATATTGCAAAGAGGTACGTAGGAGGTATTCTTGGTTAAAGCAGGGTGTGGGCAGCATGCATACTGATACTCACGGTAAAGGATTCCTTTTCCATAGCGTGACCCTGCTTTCCTCTGCATCATGGCTTCTCTGTCGAGCAGCCAATCAAAATGAGCAGGACAGCATCCCTCATTTACATAACAGGGCCTGAATGGGAACCTGTGAGGGAAAAGGGTAGGAATTTAGGCTATGTAGGGGGGTCTTTTCCTCTGTTCCCAGAGATGCTGGTTTAGGAGTTCTTGCTCCCTAGTGCTCTTTGCTTGCAAGCAAAAAGAGGCGCTGTAACACTGAACAAAGAGCTGCAACACTAAAATAAAGAGCTATAAAACTACAACACTGACGCTGTTCTTGGATTCCTCTGTGCATTCGCCCCACAACACAATCATCCAAACTGATACAGAAAATGCACTTGACAGAATTCAACACACTTTCATAATAAAAACACACAACAAACTAGGAATGCGTGGAAAGTGCTTCAACATAATAAAAGCCACATGTGAAAATCCCACAGCAAACAGCATACTCAATGGTGAACACTAAAAGCTATTCCTAAGATAATTTAGATCTCTTAAGATCAAGAACAAGGCAAAGATGCCAATTTTCACCACTTCTACTCAACGTAGGACTGGAAGTTCTAGCCAGAGCAATTAGGCAAGAAAAAGAAATAAGAGCCATCCAAAATGGAATGAAAGAGGTAAAATTATCTGTGTTCACAGATGATGTGATCTCATATGTAAAAAATGCTAAAGATTACCAACACACACAAAACAAACAAAAAAAAGTATTAGAACTAATAAATTATTTGGCAAACAGAAGGGTACAAAGTCAACACAAAAATCAGTTGCATTTCTTATACACTAACAATGAACAATCTGAAAAGCATATTAAGAACAATTCCACTTACAATAGCATCAAAAGAATAAAATAGCTAAGAATTAACCAAAGAGGTGAAAACTACAAAACATTGCTGAAAGAAATTAAAGTTAAGACAGAAATAAATGTAACCACATCACTTATTCATAGATTGTAAGACTTGATATTTAAAATTTCAATACCACACAAAGCAATCTTCAGTGAAATCCCTACCAAAATCCCAATGATGTTTTTTGCAGAAATAGGAAAACTAACTGTAAAATTCACATGGAATTCTCAAGGTACCCCCCAAAATAGCCAAAACAATTGTGAGAAAGAATAACAAAGCTGGAGAATTTGTACTTCCTGATTTCAAAACTTACTACAAAGCTATAGTAATCAAAACAGTGTGATGCTGGCATGATGACAGACATACAGACCAATGGAACAGAACGAAGAGCTCGGAAATTAACACTCACATACTTGGTCAAATGATTTTTGACAAAGATGCCAAGAAGTTAATTGGAAAAGGACAGTCTTTTCAACAAATAGTTCTGGGAAAACTTGATATCTGCATCCAAAGGAATGAAGTTGGACCCTTACCTAATACCATATAAAAATTCACTTGAAATGGATCAAAGACTGAAATGTAAGACTTAAAATTATAAAACACTTAAAAGAAAAGAGCAAAACTTCATGACATGGACTTGGCAATGATTTCTTAGATGTGACACCAAAGACACACACACATACAAAAAGATAAAATGAACTTCTTGAACATTAAAAAATTTTGTGCACAAAAGGACAATAACAACAGAGTAAAAAGATAACCTACAGAATGGGAGAAAATATTTGCAAATCATATGTCTGATAACAAGTAAATATCCAGAATATATAGACAACCTCTATAAGTCAACAACAAAAAACAGCTTAATTCAAAAATGGGCAAAGGATTTGAATAGATATTTCTCCAAAGAGGATATACAAATGGTTAATAAGCACACAAAAAGGTACTCAACATCACTAATTATTGGGAAATACAAGTCAAAACCACAATGAGATACCACCCGTTAGGATGATTAAAAAAAAAAAAAGTACTGACAAGGATGTGGAGTAATTAGAACATTTGTGCACTGTTGATGGGAATGTAAGATGGTACAGTCACTGTGGAAAATGATATGGCTGTTCCTCAAAAAATTAAAAATAGAATTACCATGTGATCCAACAATTACATTTCTGCATATATACTCAAAAGAATTGAAAGCAGGGTCTCAAAGAGGTATTTGTATACTCATGTTCATAGAGGCATTATTCACAAGAGCCAAAACATTGTAAGCAACCCACGTGTCCATCAATGGATGAATGGATAAGCAAAATGTAGTATATACACACACACAATGGAATATTATTATTCCTTAAAAAAGAAGGAAATTCTGACATTTGCTACAACATGGAGGAAACTTGAAGACATTATGCTAAGTGAAATTAAGACAATCACAGAAAGACAAATATTGTACGATTCCTCTTATATAAGGTACTTAGAGTAGTCAAAATCATAGAGACAGAAAGTAGAATGGTTGTTTCCAGGATCTGCAGGGTGGGGAGAATGGGGAATTACTGTTTAATGGGTATAGCATTTGTTTTACAAGATGAAAAGTTCTAGAAATGAATGGTGGTGATGGTTGCACAACTTTATAAATGTATGTAATACCACTGAACTGTACACTTAAAAATGATTAAGATGCTTAATTTTACATTACATGTACTTTGCCACAATAAAAAATTTGAAGGAAAAAAATAAATAAATAAACAGAGCCCAGAAGACAGTGGGATGACATATTCAAAATACTGAAGGGAAAAGATGTTGAAGCAAGAATTCTACATCCAGCAAAACTATACTACACAAACAAAGGAGAACTTAAGACATTCCCAGAGAAACAAAAACAGAAAGAATCGAGAGCTAGCAGATGTGCCTTACAAGAAATACTTAAATAAATAAAGGGAGTCCTTCGGGCTTAAATGACACTAGACAGTAACTTAAATGCACATTCAGAAATGAAGAGACCAGTAAAGGTAATAACAGTTAAACTATATAAAAGACAATATAAATGTAGTTTTTGCTTGCAAATCTTTCTTTTTTTTTTTCTCATATGATTTAAAAGACAACTGAATTGGTTAGAGTGTGGTGCTGATAACACCAAGGTTCAGGGTTTGATCCCTGTGCCAGCTAGTCACCACAAAAAAAAAAAAAAAAAGACAATGGCACAAAGCAACATTATAAAACTGTGTTGATGGGATTATAATGTACGAAAATATAATTTGTATAAAAATAAAAGCACAAAGTAAGGGAAAGATAATGGATATATCAGGTACAAAGATTTTGTGTACTATTGAAATTAAGTTAGTATTAGTTAAGATGTTAATTATAATACCCAGGGTAACCACTATAAAAATACCTTTAAAAAATATAAAGAAAATGAGAGGGGAATTAAAATGGCACACTGGAAAAATATCTATTTAACACAAATGAAGGCCATAAGAGAGAAAAAGAGGAACAAAAAAAGACATAAAATGTATAGAAAACAATTTGCAAAATGGCAGATATAAACCCTACCCTACCAGTAATTATAATAAATGTAAGCTGGATTACACTCCAATCAAAAAGCATAGATTGGGACAATAAGTAAAATATACAAGTAGAGTTTTTTGACTAGGGTGCCGCTCAGGTGCAAATCCAAGGTCCACAGAACTCTGGAGTGTGACTGACACAGAAATCAACAGGCTGAATGGTTGTTTCATTAAACTTTTTTTTTTTTTTTTTTTTTTTTAAGATGACTGGTAAGGGGATCTTAACC